TGCCGCAGGGAGTTTTTTTGGTTGCGGGTGTTTATTCCTTCTGCCTTCCTTTCCCTGTTGTGGTCACTGTGCTGCGGGCTGTGGTGCTTGCTCAGGCTCCCTCGGGGCTCACACAGTGCTCGCCAGATGACACACTTCCTGGCTGAGGTACTGACACGCTCTTTTTGTTGGGTTTCATTGCCAGGGATGGGGTGTGGAGGGGCGTCTTGCCTCTTCTTGTGGTGCTTGTGCCCACCTGTCAATGATGCAGCCAGAGACAGCAGATGGCAGAGCTGACAGAATTGTCCTGGGCACCACATATGGGGTGCCGGGGATTTGAACCCATGACCATATGTTTTCAAGGCATGCACCTTCTATCCCCCTGGCTCTTCCTCTGGGCCTGAAGGGATTCTGGAGAGACAGGACTCAGTGTTATTTTTTCCTCAAGGATATCAAATAAGAAGGGATGGAAGCTCGGATGATAGCTGCTCTCTCAGATTGGCACCGCCTGGCAACTGCGCCAGTCTTGCCAGAAGTGAGCCCATAGAGCAGCCAGAAGCACAGGAGGCCCGGTCACGGGAACTGGGTCTGGGCAGGTGCTCCACCGGTTCAGTGTCTGTAAAGATGTCCATCATGTGGGGATCATTATCTACTAATCACACTGATTCAGTTTGAGGAGATAACATTAGCATGAAGCTGTGTTCATCGAGCACCGGGATTGTTTGGCACTCATTAACTCGTTTAATTCTCGCTCCAGCCCTTGTGTGCGAGTCCTGTGATCATGCCTATTTTACAGATGAGAACATGGAGGCCGGTGATGCCAGGCGGGCTTCTGGTTAATTAGTGCCAGACTGGGGGTAATGAGAAAGGTATGCAGTGGTGGCATGTGACCAGGCCGGCTGCTGTGGAGGGTGCAGGGCTCCTGTCCTGGGCATCCTTACATGCTTAGCTACAGCGAGGAGCATGGCTGAGGAGCCCTGACCTCTGTGGAGACAGCAAAGAGGCACCCTTCCCCATCACAGCCACACACGGGGTCCCTAGGCCGCCCCTGCAGTACTTGGGGTGTTGGCTTTCCCTGTTTCTTCATCTCATTGGAAAAAGGCAGGCAGAGGGGCCCCTGGGCCTTTGGGGGGCCCTGCGCCTCCCCCGCTCCCCCCTTTCAGGTCTCCCAGCTCTGCCCCTGCGCTCCCCAGCATCCTCCCTCTTATCAGACCTGTTCCCTATCTCCATGGCAACGCCGCCGCACCCCGCTTCCTTGGGTGGTCCGGTTGCTTCACAGTCTGAAGCGCTGAGAACATTTTCCTAAAGTGGAGCCAGAAACTTCCATGCCCAGGGCTGCCCCGTCTTCCTCACCCCCCTTCCCGCCGGCCTCAGTGTCCCCACACCCGCCGGGCTCTGCCCGCTGACGGCACATGCAGCCTTCTGCAGTCCCAGGGGCTGCTGCGAAGTCTCCGAAGGGCGGGGGCAGCCCTTAGTCCCAGCTGTGCCACCAAGTCTGCAGAGCGGAGCTTAAATGTGCATGGGAATTTCCCGGGAGCTCCCGCGGAGGATTCAGAGGGGCTGCGCTCTTCCTCACGGGGGGCCAGAGGGGGCGCGTGTGGGCTCCTTAATTGTGCAAGGGCATTTGTAGTGGTCAGAGGGTGACGGTGGCTAAGAGGGTGAGTTCAGGCTTTCGAGATCCAATTTGGCCCCGAGTTGGACCCCCTCCCCTGGCCTGGGGCTCTCTCCCGGGCCATGCACAGCCCACACGGGGTTCTGGTCTAGGGCCAGCCTGTCGTCTCACACCAGGAGTGCTGCTCTGCCATCCTGCACGGCAGGAAACTGTGACAATGATCAGAGCCATGCTCCGGGGGGCAGGAGGGGGGGACAGATTTACAGGTGACACCCTCATGCCCAGAGCCAAGCAGAGAAGCCCGTCCATGCGGCTCCAAACATGCACCTGCCTGGGAAATACAAGTGCAGGCAGGCCAGCCAGAGGCCCACCACCGACGGTCTGGCACCGGGGGTGGCAGGGGCATCTGAGGCCTGCTGGTACTCCTGAGCCTTGGTGGTAGTACCCCTCAGTCCGGGTGGTGAGACCCCTGAGCCCAGGTGGTGGTACCCCTCAACCTGGTGATCTCCCTGAGCCTGAGTGGTGGTACCCCTGAGCCTGGTGAATCCCCTGAGCCCGGTGGTCTGCCCCTGAGCCCCGGGAAGCAGTGCCCTCTGAGCCCAGCTCTCCCTCCATGACACCTTTGGGGCTGCATGAGGACAGTCACCCCCGAGGCTCAGTTCCTCTGGGCGGCTCGGAGCGTCTGCGGCTCTGCGTGCCGTCGGTGTGGCGGGTGCGGAGCTGCAGTGCCGCCTCCCTTGCCAGCGCGGTGCCTGTGCCAGGGCGCTTGGCCGTTCCCAGGGCCCGTGGCATCAGCGTGGAGGATCTCCGCTTTGAAATCCCCTCTGCCCCTCCCTCTGCCAGCCCCGGATTCCTCTTCCTGCCCCTCTCCTTGGTACCAGCCTCACCCCTTTTCCTTTTGTGAGAGCGCCTGGCGGGAAGGGGGCACCACAGCTGGGCCCTGTGTTGTCTGAGGGCCGGACGTGGGGGTGGTGGGGGTGCAGCCCCCTCCTCCCCAGGGAGAACAATGAGGCCGCTAGTCAGGGTGGAGGGCGGGGGGGGGGGGTGCGTGGAGCCACATCAGAGCCGATGGGCCGCGGCCCCTGGAGGGACAACTGAGTGATGGGCCTGAGTCACCGGCCGAGCACCTGTGCAGACACGTCCAGAAATGTGCAGGGTAAATATTTAGAGGTAATCGTTTTCTGGGGCACTCACGCGCCTTGCCTGGCTGAGGACGAGCCAGGCCTGGGACTTGGGGAGGGGCCCAGCAGATAGAGGTTTTGCAGCTGGCCCAGCTGGAAGGCCCCAAAGAGACAGAGAGAGAGAGAGACAGACAGACAGACAGACACACACACACATACACACAGACAGACACACACACAGAGACAGACACACAGAGAGACAGACAGAGACAGAGAAAGCGAAAGTGAGAAAGACAGAGAGATAGAGACAGAAAGAGAGAGACAGAGACAGAGACAGAGACAGAGAGACAAAGACAGAGATAGAGACAGAGACAGAGAGATAGGGAGACATAGAAAGAGAGAGGCATACACACACAGAGATAGACAGGCAGAGAGACAGAGAGAGACAGACAGAGAAAGTGATAGTGAGAGAGACAGAGAGAGACAGAGACAGAGAAAGTGATAGTGAGAGAGACAGAGAGAGACAGAGACAGAGAGACAGAGGCAGAGAGACAGAGAAGAGAGACAGAGACAGATTGAGAGATAGAGACAGAGAGACAGGGAGACAGAGATATAGAGAGACAGAGACACAGAGAGACAGAGAGAGGCACAGAAAGAGACAGACAGAGAGACAGACAGAGAGCAGCGCCTCAGGGGCCCTGGCTCTGCCGGGTGTGGAGGCGTCTGGCCCAGCTGGGCCTTGTACGGCCCCTTCTAGAGGCCAGGCACTCTCGGCCTCTCTGTTTCTCGGTGGGAGTGAGGAGGCTCAGAGGCCGCTGGGCTCCTTGGCAGTCCCACACAGAACGCCTTCCTTCCCGGGGACGTGGCGTCCCGAGCCCGCTTTATCAGAGATGTGAGCGCGTGAGACTAAACAGTCTTTTTATAGACTGGACCGGGCTCCCTCACTGCCCCTGCCGTGGCATCTGAGGCTCTCAAGCACACATTGATTTTTTTGTGGGTTTTTTTTTTTTTTGTGCGTGTATGTGTATATGTGTGTGTGGAGGGGGGGCGGGGGCAGAGCCTGGCAAGCTAGCCGTGGCGTATTCAATATGCCAAAAACAGTAATAATAACGGGTCTCATTCCCCTGACCCTGAAAGAGCCTCTAATACATTGGGAAAGACGAGTAAGAAGGAGAGGCTGCTAAAATCTCAGGGTTGGGACGAATGGAGATGTTACTGGCACCCGCTCGAGTAAATCGAAGAACACTGGGATGACAATGATAGAGTAATACTCTGTGTGTGTGTGGGGGGGATGGGGGTGGAGTCACTGGGATTTAGGGGTGAAAGTGCATTTCTAGTCAAGGGGGGCTGCAGGAAGGCCGGAGGCTGGTGCCCATCCTGGCAGAGGTCTACACATGGGGACCAGCACACAGGCAGCTACACACCCGCTGCCTTCTTGGGCACCAGCCCCGGGGCAGTGCTGATGTGGGCAGCCCTCCTGGGTAGGACAATCTCCTGCTGGTCACCCAGGCACTGGGGGAGGAAGAAAGCAAAAGCGTATTGTGTGGGACCCATTCGGTGCTGTGTAGCCACTGGGTCGGTTCGTCCTTGCCGGAACTTAAGCAGTGTCTGGCTTCTCCTCCGGGCAGTGAGGAAGACAGAGGGTCCGAGTGGTTCTAAGCCCGCTGCGGAGGAGAGAGCTGACCTCGGCAGGCCCCGTGCTCTTCCCTCTGGCCTCTTGACTATTAGGGAGCTGACCTTGACCCTCATGGGGGTGGGCGTGAGAATCCAGGGGATCCCTAGTGAAGTCTCCAGGGACCCCGGCTAGCAGTGGACTAGCTGGTGCCCACGCCCTGGGGATCCCTCAGGGCCTCTCGATGGTGGGGAGGTGGGAGGGATTCCCGGCCGGGAGGCCTGTCCACTGCTTCCACGAGGAGAGGGGGGGCCACAGAGGGAGGGCAGGTGGGCAGCGCAGGCAGCTGGCCCTGCTGTGGTGGTTTAGTGACAAGCAGAGGAAGGCTTCCCATCCCCCCTTCTGAAATTTTCCAGTCTGAAATGCTGGATTTTCCCTCCTGGTCCCCCTTTCCCTGATCACAGCCCTTCCCGGGGCTTTCGAGGGGAGGGAAGGGGAAGGGGACCGTGTCGCTGGGATGTGGGGGGCCCATTCCCCCTCTTCACCTGCCCAGGCTGGTGTATGGGCTTTGGCGGACCTCCCGTGGGGCGCTTCAGGGCTCCCCATGCAGTGCCCGCAGCCGGACAGTGCAGGAGGGGGCCGGACACTCAGCCGCTTCCTCTTCTCTCCTCCGCAGAGACCTGAGCATGAACAACCTCACGGAGCTGAGCCCGGGGCTGTTCTCTCACCTGCGTTTCCTGGAGGAGCTGTGAGTCGGGGCCAGGGTGGTGGTCGCCGCCCAGCGACCACGGCTGCCGGGTTCGGGCCTCTTTGCAAGGCGGGGAGCTCAGCCAAGGGACAAGGGAGCCCACAGCCCGTGCGAGCAGGACAGTCCGCTGAGACCCAGCCCAGAGTGTGGTCTGGGGGCTCGCCAGTCTGGCCGGCCCCCCGCCCCCACACTAACTCCACCGTGGAGTGTCTGGCATCACAGTACCTGGGCGACTCCCGGCTGACCTGTCCTTGCTCCTGGGTCCTCCTCAGCCTCTCCCAGTCCACAACCTCTCTCCTGCCCCTGTCCATGTGCCCGCTGACCCCTCATGCCGGGATGTGCCAACTTCCTTCTCCAGAGACTCTCTGGTTTCAGAACCCTCGGTGGCTCCTCATAGTCCTCAGCACTGCAAAGCCGCCCTGCCCTGGCCCGAGCTGGCCAGTAGGGTCCATGGTGCATCAGCCAGCCAGGCCTGTCCCCACCTGACGGGGTGTGCTCTGTTCTTTAGGGACAAGCCTGTCACGGGCCAAGCAGCTCCTTTTTGCATAAACCCTGCCCAGTTCCTCTCTGCGTCCCGCCCCCTGCCCCCACACGGCCAGCCTGCCCCCCGCTGGGTGCTGCTCCAGAATGAACCATGTCCTGGGGAAAAGTGCCAGCCTGTGTGCTGGGCACATCCCTCCCTCCCGGCCTGCTGAGTCTCCATCTCTGGGGCTCCCTCAAGCCTGGCTTACGCTGTGCACACCCAGAATCCTTTACAGCCCCTCTCGCCCCTGCTCCTGTCTTGACCCTGAGCACTGCTTCCCGAGTACGTAGGTCGCCCACCCTATCTAGGGTGGGGTTTTCCCGGAGAGTCCTTGGTGGCCTTGTCCGAGCCCAGAGCAAGCTCAGGGGGAGATGGCAGAGTGGGCAGCGCTGAGCTGGACCCTGGGCATCTGTGGGAGGAGTGCCCAAGCGGGCAGCAGCCCAGGGAGATCTATCTTTAGCCACTTTTCGAAGGTGGTGGGGACCTCGTCCAGTGTGGGAACGAAGAGCAAAACCAAAGGCCGGGAGCTGGGGACACAGACTTGGCATTGCAGAGTTGGGGATCAAACCCGGGTCAGCGGCATGCAAGGCAAAGCAGTGCTTCACCCGCAGTACTGGTGGGTGAAGTGTGGGTATGTGACTCACCCACACTGCTTTTTATTAAAAACACAACAAATATCTAAGAGGTTCTAATTAGACCAGGATACGGCTCATACTTTGTAGGTGAGGTTCTGAGTTTGATCCCTGACAGAGAGAGAACAGGGAGGAGAGGGAGGGGGAGAGAGAGAGAGAGAGAGAGAGAGAGAGAGAGAGAGAGAGAGAGAGAGAGGAAAGAGAAGGGGAGAGAGAGGGAAGCAGAGAGAGAGGGAGGAAGAGAGAGAGGGAGGGACAGAGGGAGGGAGGGAGAGGGTGATGGTGGGAAACAGTGTGGAGGAGAGGGAGGAGAGAGGGAAGGGTGAAGGGGAAGGGGAGGGCAGAGCACAGAGAGCGAGTCTTCAGCGCCATCAACCCTGTTTTAAGAGCTCAGAGGTGCATTAGCACAGACGCACCTCTGTGTGGGACCGAGGGCAGAGCGCTGTGGGGCAGGGACGCAGCAAGGCGGCCTCTTCCTCGACATTTAGAGCATTGCGAGCCCCCTGCGGGGCACCTCAGGAGACAGACCACTGCTCTCATCCAGCACCCCCTTCTCCTCGCTCCCGGCCCCTGTGTTAGGGGGTCTCAGGGGCATGGAGGGCGGTGCAGAGAGGAGCAGAAGTGAGCCCCACCGGGTGTGAACTCTGAGTCCTGGCCTCCAGGGAGAGGTCGGACCTTGAGAGCCTCAGTTTCCCCTTTGGGGACTTGAGGGTGAGAGCAGGCACCCGACAGGACCGTCCTGAGAGTCCAGTGGGACGGGGTGAGTGGTCCCAAGGGGGACTCCCTAGAGGGGCGCTGCCTGCCTCACGGTCCCTGCTCTGCCTTGCAGGCGGCTCTCTGGAAACCATCTCTCCCACATCCCGGGACAGGCCTTCTCTGGACTCTACAGCCTGAAGATCCTGTGAGTACCAGCACCCGGGGGACCCGGCAGCCCCTGCCCTCAGAGTGGTGGCAAAGTGAGGCTTCGTTCTCGGAGTCTTGCTTTGTCAGCTCCTGGCTGGTCCTTTCCTTCTTGTTTTGTCTATGTGTGCTTTTGGGGGCCACTCCTGGGTGTGCTCCAGGGCTACTCCCCGCTCAGTGCTCAGGGGACCATGCAGTGCCAGGCCCCTGGCCTCCTGCTGTGGCATCTCTCCAGACCACTCATTTCCTCCTCCTTCTCTTTTCATTGTAATTGAAAGTGCTGTTTCCATGTCTCGGCTTTCACCTTGTCCTGCGCAAACCTTGCGATTTGCAAACCCACGAGTCCCATGGCGCCCTGCAGGTGTCTGAGGTGGACATGGGCCTTGGAGCGAATTCAGTTTGCACCCGCTGCCCTCCCTGAGACCCGAGGGCCCGAGAAACAGTGTTGCCGGAGAAGGGACCTGGGGTGCCAGGGCACCTTCCTTCCTCTCTTCCATTTTTTCTTTCTCTCTCTTTTGCCCTTCCTTCCTTCCTTCCTTCCTTCCTTCCTTCCTTCCTTCCTTCCTTCCTCCCTCCCTCCCTCCCTCCCTCCCCCTCTCCCTCCCTCCCTCCTTCTCTCTCTTCTTTTTTTCTTTTTCTTTATGGTTGTTTGGGTCACACCCAGCAATGCACAGGGTTTACTCCTGGCTCTGCACTCAGGAATTACCCAGGGGACCATATGGGATGCTGGGAATCGAACCTGGGTCGGCCTTGTGCAAGGCAAATGCCCTACCTGCTGGGCTATTGCTCCAGCCCCCTCCTTCTCTCCTTTCTTTCCTTCTTTCTTTCTTTCTTTCTTTCTTTCTTCCTTCTTTCTTTCTTTCTCTCTTTCTTTCTTGGAATTTGACCCTTGGAACTCCAAGCTCTTGGAACTTGACCCTGGAAAGATCCATGAGCGCTAGAACCAGAGATTAAACCTATAGGTCATTCGTACAGTTGAGTAGGTTGTTCATTGCACAAGAACATCCGGCTAAGAAGGGGCTGAGATTTTAACCTGTGCCTGTCTGGGGGCTGCATCAGAGCCCTCTATGGTTGGTTCAGCCTTGGCTGTGGTGAGTTTTTTTCCACCTTCCCGCTGCTCACCTGACAGTGCTCTCTCCAGGCCTGAGCACTTTCTCACCTTCCCACGAGCCTGATACCCATTGTCCACGCCAGACTCTGCCTTGGACGTTGTCTGTCCCGTCCATTCTTCTTCCTTCCTGCCCTGCCCTCTCTCTGCCGCTCTGTGCCCGGTTCATCATTCTCCTTCTTCTGGCCACTTCTCGCAGTCTGCGTTTCTTCAGGAACCAGCTGCCGGGGGGCCGGGGGTGGGGGGTGCACTGCACTGGGCTGGCAGACACAGCCCAGGGCCGGCCGCCTGCTCGGTGGCATGTCTGTGCCCGGGGCAGGCTGAGACGTGTCGCGGATTAGAGTCGGCTCTGTTTGCTGGGCCCTCGGAAGACGGAGCCTCACGTCCCATTCCTAAGACTCGGCTTAGACACGAGCCTCCTCTTTCTTCTCCGCCTGCATTAGGCAATAAATCAAAGCCCTGGGAAACCGCAGGCCCCCCACCCCCTCTCTCCACACGGCGCCCTGGGCTCAGCCCTTGGCTCGGGGACCTGGGTGGCGGAAGAGGCTGCTGCGGGGAGGAGGGGGACGGCGAGACAGTCAGCCGTCCACTCCTCACTCAGCCATGGACCCTGCCTTCCTTGCCCCGGCTTTAGGGGTCCCTCCAAGCCTTCACGTCTGTCTTTCTCGGGGGTTTCCTCGATTCAAGGACCATCTGTGTGGTCTGCGTAGGGGTGATGAGCCCCTACTTCGGGATGTCAGAGGCGGGGCTCCAGGCATCCCCCCCGCCCCCCGTGAGACTCCCCAGTGAGGGACTTCCTGTGCTTCCCCCCCCCCCCCCCCCCCCCCGCATGTTGCCAGACCTGCTCAAAAGATGGGGCAGGTGGGCGGCCTGGGCATCGGGTCTCTGGCACCAGAGACACCCCAGCTTCCTGTGTTTGCCCTGACTGAGTGGAAACTTCCGGTCTCCGAGGTCGTGCTGAGGAAAGGCAGAGCAAGGGCCTCCCCTGCTGACTGTGTCCTCATGGCCCTGGCGGAACCCCTTCTCTGATCTGCCTCCAGTTCCGTGCTGAACCTGGGGGTGTGACTCTTGGGGTCCTCTCCTCTGGGGCCCTCAGGCTCTGTCCAGGCTGAGGCCAAGAAGCCAGACCAGCAGGAATCTTGGCCCTGCCCCTGTCCTAAGGTCCCAGGGCCTGGTCTGCCGTGGAGCTCTGTGAGGGTCAGGTGGAACCCCAGACTTGCTGCCCTCTGAGCCCCTTGTCGGTGAGCAGGTGTGGTCCTAGCAGGAGGCACAGTTCCTGCTGCCCTCAGTCTGTGAGCAGTGCTCGGGCCTCTGAGGGGGCCTGTCTGAGTGGCCAGTGTCCTCACACCCTGACCACAGCCTGAGGAGAGAGCCAGTGGAGGAGCTGGGGAGCCCCCTTTGTCTCACACAGAGGCGGGGCATTGGCTAGTGGCTGTGGCCCTGGGTCTTACCGTGTGTGGAAGTTTGTGTCAGTGTTTCGTGAGTGTGTGAATGACAGAATGTGAGTGAGTGTGTGTGAGTGAATGTGCACATGCCTGTGTAAATGTGACCCACAGTGTAAGTGAATGTGTATGAATGTGTAAGTCCGTGCGTGTGAATGAACAGGTATGTGAATGTGTGAGTGTGAACGAGTGTGTACGTATCAACATGTATGTGAGTGTGTGGATGTGTAAGTATGAGTGTGGATGAGTAGATGAGTGTGTGTATAAATAAGGCGAATAAGTGTGTCAGTGTGTGTGTTAGTGTGTATGTCAGTATACATGCGAGGGTGTGACTTCTGAGTCTGAATAAGTGTGAATAAGTCTGTGAATGTATGTGAGTGTGAATAAGTGCAAATGAGTGTGTGTGTCAGTGTGTCAGTGAGTATAAATGGTGTGTGAATGTATCAGCATGTGACTGTGTGTTAATAAGTGTGAATGAGTGTGTGAGTATGTGTGAATGTCAGTGCGTGTGAGTGTGTGAGTGTGAGAGTGAATGTGTGTGTGTCTGGATGTGGCAGGCCTTCGTGGCTCTATCTTGTCTCTGCCTCCTCCTTCACAGGTTTCTCCACAGCTGCCTTCCCAGAGAGCTGAGTCAGCTCTGGGGACCCTGGACCAAGTTGGTCTGGACCAATCTAGAAAGGCCCCTGTGGGACCCCTCGGCCCCTCGTCAGAGCTAGATCTGGGAAGCGGGGCCTGAACTGTCAGGTCGGGTGAGAGATTTTCCCAACACCCTGTCCTGACTGAGCTTGGAACCCGCGGGTGTCAGACTGGGGAGTCTCGTCCTGTGGGCTCGGTCAAGTTGAGCCAGACAGAAGCAGCTACTTTCCCAGGTGTCTCATCAGAGTCTTTTCTGGAGGCCGCTGTGGAGGGGGTAGTGGCCGGGGGGCTGCCTGGGGACGGCTCCTGGGTTGGTGCCCCTCTCAGCCTCTAAGCAGCCGCTGAACGGTGAGGCTAAAATCGGGTTGTTCACTGTCTCTGGTCATGCTCAGCCCGGGCTTGGGGCTCCATGCTGCTGATGAAATGGACTAAAGGCAGAGGAAGAGGGAGACTTGTGAGCTCCTGGGGCGCCAGGAGCCTCTCCGCCTGCTCTGTGGAGTGAGGCTGCCTGGGGCTCCAGGAGCCCGGAGACCCTCAGAGCTATCCCCCCCGGAAGAGGCTCTGACTAAGGCCAGAGCAGGGCCCAACCAAATTCTCAATTAGGCATCACTAAGTTCCTGGTCCTTCAAACCCCCAGTTTTCCTTTTTATGGGGCTTGGTTTTCTCACCTTTAAAATGGCCATTCGATGGGGCTGGAGCCTGTGTATAGTAGGTAGGATAGTTGGTAGGGCAGGTGCCTTGCATGTGTTTAGCCTTATTCAATCCCCAGCATCCCATATGGTAATGCTGCCAAGAGCAATCCCTGAGCACAGAGTTAGGAGTAAGCCCTTAGCACCACCGAGTATTGCCCCCAAACAAATAAAACAACAACAACAACAACAAAGTAAATAAAAGGAGGCCATTGAAATAAATTACCCAATATTTTTAGCAATAGGAACTTTAGAAGAAGAACAGCTGTGTGCTGGAGTCTTGGAGTCCAACATGGAGAAAGGGGCACATCTTTGGTTAAAGTGGAGGCGTCCCCAGGGACTCAGAGGCCTCACCCTAGGACTGAACAATGGGCCTCTGCAAACCACTGTGGGGTCATGCTCTGGAAAATTCTGGTTCTTGTGTTGAGGCTCCTGCCCCTCGTGACTCCTGCCCTGGGGGCTTAAGGGTGCTGGGACAAGGGATAAGCGGCCATGGAGAGGGGCCGGGCCAAATCCCACACGCCAGCCTGCAGCATGGTGTGTTGTTCTGTAACAGACAGACCTTCCCGATGACCACAGTGGCATGGGATGGGTGATCTGGGGGGCCCTGGGGGCTCTGGACACTGGGAGGCATGTAACAGCATGTGTTAGAAGTGAAGCGCCGTGTGGAGACCTCAACTGGGTCCTTCTAGACCCGGGTAGAGAGAGAAAGGATGGAACCCGAGTAGTGAGGGGTGCAGATGCATGGAAATGCTCAGGAAGTGGGGGTGCTGCTTTGGGGTGACTTGGTAAAGCCTCTGCTGTACCAAGGGGAGGGGGCGCCTGTGTGAGCAGCTCGTGTGTCTGCTGTGTGACTCCTCGTTGCTTCTTGATGCCTCTGGGTGAGGTCAGGCAGCCCCGAGTAACCAAGAACACAGGCCCCCTCTAGACAGAAGAGGGCAGGGTGGCTCTTGGCCAGACCCTGAGTTTCAAGGTGAGGCTTTGTCGGGGGAAGAGGCCTCGGAGTAAGCTGTGGACAGCGAGACCCCAGAAGAAATGACGGTCTCAGCTGAGCTGTCTGTCGCCTGGTTTGCTCTAGTGTGATACCACAGGAAGCTCTAATTTTCTGATCCGCTCAGATATCCCTGCAGCCTCCATGTCATTCCTGCCATCGGTAGAGGGAGCCACAGCTGGAGTGGAAGCCACTGCCACTTCTCTCACCATCCCTGCTGTCACCTGTCTTCACTGTTGCCCCTGTCACGTGCTGTCTCACCATCATCTGCTGTCACCTGCCATCACCCACTGTCACCTATTTTGGCTTCACTGTCACTTTCTGTCATCTGCTGTCATCCACTATCCCTGCTGTCACCTGCTATAACCCACTCTGTCTGTTGCCTGTCACTACCTGCTGTCAACCACTGTCACTGTGGTAGCCCGTCACCACCGCTGTCACCCACTGTCACCATCTGTTTTCTTGTCATCAATGTAACCTGCTAGAATGAGGGGAGCTTAGGAGACAGGCCCGGGGCTGCAGGGTCCCGGTTTGGTCCCACCTTGGAGGCAGATCTCTGCATTGGAAGGGTCTCGGGAGTGTGGGGGGCCCGTGGGGCCTGACTCCCCACATCCAGTGTGCCCACCAGGGCACCCACAGCCTGGCCTTTCCCCAGACCGTATCCCCATCCAGGGCAGGGGAGTGAGTGGGTTTGTCAGGGATTCTCTTCTGTCCCTAAAGGTGTGTCAGAGGCCAGCAGGGCCCCGGAATGGTGCCCACACCCCAACCCCTCTCCTCTGCATTTTCCCATGTGGAGCCCGTACGGGGCCTGAGCTGGGTGGTGGAGCTTTCTGGGAGAAGTGGGAGCTTGTGTCTGGAACGTTCCAGGGCCCAGAGCTGGCCCTTGAGCTCTTTGCCTGAGGAAAGAACCTCTTTCCTGCTGCCTTCTCGGGGCTGTGCAGGTCCAGAAGCTTCCAGGAACAGACTGCCTGCCCCCCCCCCCCGCCCCCAGGTGCTCCGAGGCTCCCTCAGCACCAGGCAGCAGCCCCCGCGCCTCAGGGGACGCCACTTTGGGAGGTTGCTCTGCCTCCTCTTGACCTCCATGGTACCTGGTCTGCAGCGCCACGGGTTTGTTCTCCCTCTCGGTGCTTTGGCCTCACCTCCAAGTGCAGGACTCAGGTGGCCCTGAGAAGCCTCCACCTCGGGGAAACCGAGGCCAGGGTTGGAGATGGGGGACACAAACCTACTGGCCCCCACATTCCTCCTGGGTCGGCTGTGACGGGTTGGCGGCGTGTGGACTCTGGTGCTCACCCTTTCCAGGCTGTGCTCCCTGGGGCCTCCCCATGGCTCTTTGCAGGCCCCCTCCTCCCAGCAGCCTCCCTGGGTTTTCCCCACCCAGACGCCTTGTCTGAATCTAGGGGCTTCCCCTGGGGCTTAGATGCTGGCCTGGAGAGTGTGGGGTGTGGCGTGGGTGGAGGGGGCACTCTGGGTGGGGGGGGGGGAGCCCCGGGTTCTGAAAACCTTTTCCTCCCCTTGCAGGATGCTGCAGAACAACCAGCTGAGAGGCATCCCCGCCGAGGCGCTGGGGGACCTTCCCAACCTGCAGTCTCTGTAAGTTCTGGGGGGCCGGCCCAGGTCACTTCCCAGCACCTCTCCTCTCTGCGGGGGCCCCTTTCCGACTCCCACTCCCAGACAGCGCCACTGCTCTGGCTCAGGGCCTCTGGGGTGCTGGTTCTCTGTGTTTGTGTTTGTGTACACGCCCGTGTGCATCTCAGGGACTGGGGCTGTGGGAACGGGACCTCCCTCAGAGGGGTTGGCGCCCCGCCATCGAGCCACCCCAAAGACACAGCAGGAAGGGGCTGTCTCCTCCACCTAGCCTGCTCAGCCCCCGGGGCTTGTGGGGTGTGGGGCCCACACACCCATTTCCCTAACTTGGGGCTGGGACCGCCCTTGGGCCTCACAGCAGGGCTCCCCCCCAGCCCCCCATGACATCTGGCGGGGAATGGTGCAGTTCCCGTCCCGCCCAGTAGGGGCAGAGGCGGGAGCAGGCGTTGCTGTGGATGAAGGTGCTGGAATGATGTGGTGTGGATGAAGGTGCTGCCAGCCTGCAGAGGCTCTGACGCCCAGACTCAGCACCCGGGATGTGGGGGGCCTAATACTTGCGGGAATTTCACCAATTGAACCGTCAGGTGCCTTTGCAGCGGATGGGATTGCAAATAGGTAACTGGGAGAAAGCAGAGTTGGGAGACAGGCCTGGTTCTCTCAGCAGTGCAGGGACTGTGTGTCCAAAGACCTGGAGAGTCTTGGCCTGGGGGTCCAGCGTGGTCCCCTCTGGACCCAGGATGCATAAGTTGGACTCTCTAAACAGACGCTGCTGAGGTTGGAGTTGAAAGTGGGCGAAGGAAAGTGGCCTGTATCCATTCAGGTCTTTTCCACCCTGAGCAGAGGGCCGGGATGTGGGGGCCTGGCCCACACTCTCCCCTGCTTCTGTGTCTGATCCCGTGTCCTCAGTTCCCTTCCTTCACCTGGGGCCTCTCCCCCTAGAGACAGCAGCAGAAAGACGCATTTGCCCCTCTTTCTCGGGGCTCCCCGAATTATTGTCCAGGCACCAGCCAAGCAGGGGAAGCGCTTCCAGTGAGACATCAAAGAGGAGAAAGAGGACACTTGGACATTTTTTCTTTCCTCTTTTTTTTTTTTAAGGTTACACTTAGTAATTCTCAGGGCTTATTTCTGGCTCTGTGTTCAGGGATCACTTATGGGGGCTCAGGGGACCACATGGGGTGCTAGGGAGTGAACCCAGGTCAGCTGCATACAAGGCCAGCGCCTATCTGCTGTTTTGTCGCTCCAGCCCAGGATACTTACTTTGACTGGACTTCACACTTGATTTTAGGCCTTTTGTTTCATGATGAACCTCAGTCTTAGGGCTTCAGAAGGGCCAGGCCAGACAAGCAGCCTTCCTGCACTCCCTGAGCCAAGACAGCTTCTTTTTTAAAAAAAAATTATATATAATATATTATTATATATAAATATTTATATATTTAAATATATTATATATGTATATATAAATATAGATCCTTAAATAGAATCACCTTGAGCTATACTTACAAAGCTTTCACTTTTGAGTTTAAACTCTACAATGATTGAACACCCATCCCTTCACCTGTGCACATTTTCCACCACCAGTGTCCCCTGTACCCCTCTCAACCCCCATCCCACCCCAGCCCCTGTCGCCAAGACAGCTTCTATGCTGGAGGGCTGACTCTGTCTCCCACCTGGCCATCACTTCCTGTCACCTGTCACCTGGGCCCTGTTCCCACTCCAAAGTCAGATACGGGCTGAGGAGACCTTGCCTCTAGCAATCTCTTAAGGGGGACACTGGTCTGTGAGGCAGAAACTGGGCTTCAGTTTCCTGTTCTTTGTCACATACCTTCTCTGTGCCTTAGTTTCTCCATCTTCAAGTCTGCCTGCCTATCTCCCGGGTGGCCAGAGAGAGAACAGATAGAGTGAACATGATGGGGATTTGAGGAGAGAGGACCTGAGTCTGGAAGAGGGGCTGAGAGTGTCATGAGTGTCCGGTTCACTGGCCACTAGTTGGCTTATCTGATGCTTACATTGAGGCTTTTCCAGGGGACAAGACCCAGACAAAGAGGCAGGGACGGACACAGAGCAAAGAATGACATGTGCACAATGTTTGATGAGGTTTACCAAACTTGTTACTAATGTCTTATACATGGGCTTAATGGCTCCAGGGTGAAATACAACAATCTGCACATACTTTCCTGTAAGGAAACTTTATTGAATTATTTTTAGCGGATTATTCATAACAAGCAATACAAAATTAACGGTTTCGGTTCTGCTTTGGGGGGCATGATTTGGGATTTGGGGCAGAAACATTCGTAATATGGTGGTGGGAAGATGCAATGGTGGTGGGATTGGTGTTTGGATATGAAATGTAATGAATTGTTGTGAACAACTTTCTAAAAATAAAATGAAATAAAATAAAAAGAAAGGTGTGTGCAAAGACAGAGCTAGTCAATGGAGAGCTCTGTGTGTGTGTGTGTGTGTGTGTGTGTGTGTGTGCGTGTGTGTGTGAATGTTGCGGGAAGGAGCCAGTGGAGTGAAACCAGGAACGAGTGAGAGAATGCCTAAGCCACAGGCATGAAGCTTGCTCAGGGCTTGGGAATTAGGTTCGACCTGGGGAGCGCTAGAGAATGGTGACAAGGTTTGCACCTTTGAAGTGTGTACTTATGAGGCTTGCTAAGGGGCTGGGTGTTAGGGTCAGGCCTGGGGCTTCCTAGAGGACCGGGGTCAAGTTTGCACAAGTGAAAGGTGACTTAGGTATCAAACTGGGACAGGGAGCCAGTGAAGGGGCAGGAGATCAGCCAAAGGAAGGGCGTGGATTCTCGAGCCCTCGGGAATGGCCTCCAGCCTCCTCCTTCACCCTGGAGGGTCTGCTTTCGTTTCCTTGCCAGCGAGTGGAGGCAGCAGCAGCCTCGAGGACCCTTACCTGGCAGAATGAGGAGAGTCGATAGACACGGTAGGCTTGGCACTCTACCTTTGGCTGGGTGTGGGTGTCTCTACCCAGCGGCAGCCGTGACGTGGTCTGCTGGAGGAAGGGGAGTCAGACTGACAGTCAGGCTTGTCGGGAGAGGCGGGTTCCCAAGAGCCTCGCACCTGGGAAGAGCACAGGGAAGATGGCAGTGAACCTCAGAGGACGTGGAGGGGCCTAAGGGACCGGGAGAGGCTGAGGCCACTTTGGGACGTGTTGAGTTTGGGATGCTTGCAGGTAGGGGTGGCCAAGCTCCTTGGGCAAACTGGAGGCGCTCTCTCTAGTTCTCTCTCCTTCCCTCTCTCTCCTCCTCTCCCTCTCTCTCCTCCCTTGCTTCCTTCCTCTCTCTGTCTTTCCCCCTCCCTCCCTCCTTCCCTCCTTCTTTTCTTCCATCTCTCCCTCCCTCTCTCCTGCCCTCTCTCCCTTCTCCCCTCTCTCTCCCTCTCCTCTCCCTCCCTCCCCTTTCTCTCTTCCCCCCTCTCTCTCCCTTCCTCTTTCTCCCTCTCTCCCTTCCTCTCTCTCCCTCCCTCCCTCCCTCCCTCCCTCCCTCCCTCTCTCTCTCTTTCCCCCTCCCTCTCTCCCTTCATCTTTCTCTCTCTCTCCCTTCCCCTCCCTCCCTCCCTCCCTCCCTCCCTCTCTCCCTTCCTCCCTCCCTCCCTCCTTCTTTCTCTCTTTCTCCCTCCCTCTCTCCCTTCCTCTTTCTCCCTCTCTCCCTTCCTCTTTCTCCCTCCCTCCCTCCCTCTTTCTCCCTCCCTCCCTCCCTCCCTCCCTCCCTCCCTCCCTCCCTCTCCCTTCCTCTTTCTCCCTCTCTCCCTTCCTCTCTCTCTCCCTTCCTCTCTCTCCCTTCCTCTCCCTCCCTCCCTTCGTCCCTCCCCCCTCTCTCCCTCCCTCCCTCACTCCCGCCCTTTCTCTCTCTCCCTCCCTCTCTCCCTTCCTCTCTCTCCCATCTTCTGTCTCCCTCCCTCCCCCTCTCTCTCCCTTTCCCTCCCTCCCTTCCTGTCTCTCTGTATGTTGAGGAGCAGTAACCACCATGCACCCTAACCTGGAGTTCTGGGTGACAGGTGCATATCCGGAGCTTTTGCAAACTGGGTTTCAAAGCAATGCTTCCTGCATCATTCAGATCCTTGAGAGTGACGGTAGAACCAGGCCCCTGGGGAAGGTCCGAAGGAGAGGGTTGGGGCAAGTGACAATCCTGTGAGCGCCTGTGTGGGCTGGTGCGACACGAGATGTTTAGGGACCTCATCTGACTGTGTCCTGCAAGGACCCCCCCTCTTCAGTGGCCTCCATCTCTGCCGCTCCGGGCCGGGAATAGATGCTCAGATGGGCTGGGGGCTCTTCCAAGCTGCGAGGGATGTGGGCGGCAGTTGCAGGGCCGTGTGGCTGGTGGGATGGGCAGTGCTGGGCAGCCTTCTCTGCGCCCACCCGTGGCTCCTTCTGGTCGACAGATCTGAGAGGTGTATCCAGCCCCGGCTCTGCCTGGGGGTCTGGGGCGGCTTACCTGGAGCTGGCCGCCTCACCTCCAAAGGGGGCTTGTGGGGGCTGGAATGACAGCACAGCAGGTAGGGCATTTGCCTTGCATGCAGCTGACTCGGGTTTGATTCCCAGCATCCCATATTGGTCTCCCAAGCACTGCCAGGAGTAATTCCTGTGCATCGCTGGGTATGACTCAAAAAGCAAAAAAAAAAAAAAAAAACCCAAACCCCCCCCAAAAAAACCCCCAAAAAACAAACAAACAAACAACAACAAAGGGGGGTTGTGGCACTCTCTCCTCCCACTCCCGATCCTCAGTGGGCATCCGGCCCCCTGCCCACTCTCCACCCTGCCGGGACCGGACAGCGGTGACCGAGTCAGGAGTGTGGCCAGGGGTGGGGGTGCCTCCCACAGAGACCTACACAGACCCACTGGCTCACCCCTGAGGTGGATGGCGTGCAGGCCCGGGATCCCCTTGCTCCCTCCCAACCCGTGGGGAGACTGGGTGGCAGTGCCAGCCGCGTCCTGCCAGGCTTGGGCCAGGGCCAGGAGAAACCATGGGAAGCCAGCGGAGCCTGGGGGGAAGTAGAAA